AAGAAGCACACCAGCCTGTGTGATCATGAGGTGTTGATGGGAAGAGGTATTAGAAGTTCAAAAACATGCAACCAACTTGTTATGAAGGAGCGTGGATTCAAGACCCAAAATTCACCTGCAAGGTAGTTGGACAGTCCATCTCAGAAGGGCCACATGGAAAGGATGATAAATCCAGGGTGTGGTATAGCACTGATTTACCACATAATTATCCACTAGTTCTTTAATATTTCCTCCCCTGACTATTAAGGCTATTTGTATTACCTCATTAATCATGTTAAATTTGAGTGTGTTCATTTATATATTTAAAATTGTTTGGTATATGAAGTCAAGATAAATAACCCTGCAGAAACAATAACAGGAGCAATGGTTCCCTGATGGTATGGGAAGAAGAAGCGGGGGGAATGGGGAGCTGATAGCACTGATGATTGTATAACTCCACTTGATGGGATGAACAACAGAAATGTGAATGGATATATTCACATTGTGTAAGATTTGTCAATAAAACTATTTTTTTACGTTTTTATCCTATCACCACACCTATTCTGTATGAGCAAATAAGGAGAGAAGCTGGATTATAAGAAGAATGCTGCATCAGGATTGGAAGAAAACTTATTAACACCTTGTGATATGCAGATGGCATAACCTTGCTTGCTGAAAGTGGGAAGACCTTGAAGCACTTGCTGATGAAGTTCAAGGACTGTAGCCTTCAGTATGGATGACAACTCAATGTATGGAAGACCAAAATCCTCACCACTGGACCAACAAGTAATAACATCATGACAAATGGAGAAAAGATTGAAGTTGTCAAGGATTTACTCTTGCTTGGATCCAAAATCAATGCCATGGAAGCAGCAGCCAAGAGATCAAGCAACTTATTACAATGGGTAAATCTGCTGCACAAGACTTCTCTAAGGTGTTGAAGAGCAAGGATGTTACTTTGAGGACTGTGGTGCAACTGTCCCAAGCCATGGCATTTTCTATCACCTCATACGCATGTGAAAGTTGAACAATGAATAAGGAAAACCAAAGAACAACTGGTGTGTTTTACTTATGGTGCTTGCAAAGAATATGGAAGATCCCTTTGGCTACCAGAACAGTCTGATGTGTCTTGTAATAACTACAGCCAGAATGCTCTTTAAAAGCAAGGATTGTGAGACTTATCTCACATACTTTGGACATACTGTCAGGAGAGACTAGGCCCTGGAGAAGAACGTCATGCTTAAAGGGGCAGTGAGAAAGAGCAAGGGTCCGGACAGATGGCTGTCTAAAGGCACAGCCATGCCGGCTATACTAAGGCAGGAGTTTGATTTTGAAGCTAGATTTCAAGGACATAGTCCCTTTGACCCATTTTAAATCTGTTCTGCTTTTTATTAATTTTTGTTATTTATTCAACTGAAGTTTTTCTGTTTTGTTGTTGCTATTGGTGGGGTATTTTTCCTCTTAGTTTTTTTTCTATATGAAATCCTGAATAGTTAAATCTATACAGACAACACTGGATTAATAGTTTCTTAGCATTATAGCAGGGGAAGTTGGGGAAATGGAGAATAATACTGAGCACAACTCGGTTTAATATGTTTAAATTACTGAGCTGTATGACATTTGAATTATCAATAAAAATGTTAAAATTTAAAATTTTTTTTAAATGTAAGTCTGTTTAGCTTTTTAGTTGTCCTATTTTAAATTTGTTCTGCTTTTTATCATTTTTTTTTGTTCTTTTTCAAATGAGTTTTTCTATATTTTATTATTGCTATCGGTGTAGTCTATTTGATTCCTATGTATTCCATCTGGCTGGGTCCACATGTATAATCAGTTTACATTATTAAAAGGGAAAAAAAGCATTTCCAATGAAAAGGTTTTTGGTCTTGAAAAACACTATCGTGTGATGCCCTGCCTTATTTTTATCACCAGAGTCTATGTCCTAACCCCAGTTCCATCTTCTTTGTTTCTAATGCTTGCAATAATATCATCAATAATTATCAGTGTACCTTGATTGCATGTCGGATCCATTTCAGGTGACAGAAGTTGGCAGAATTCAATGTCATCATTCATGGCATTAGTGGTGAGACAGTTTATTGTGCCAGCCTGGCTGATAAACTCAGGTGGGATTGACTGAGGGGCGGAGAGATGGATGGCTTTGTGAGCCTTGCCTTTCTTGTCTCTCGCTCTGTGATCATCGGACCAGTGTGCGGCTGCCTTGCTTGTT